AAAGATAAATATATGAAGGTAAAACAAAATCTTTTGTTTTTCTTATCCTTAATTGACCTAACAGATAACAGTTTGTTCAAAACAACAGCAACAATATACTATTGGATAAGTGAAATGAATGAGAGCAATGTTATAATGGATTGGTGGGAGGAATTGGGTACTCTAGGTACTTATATTACCTTTGAAGTGATATACTGTTATAACAAAGTGGACTTGGATTAATTAAAAACGCATATTTCAAATTTAAAGGTTAATTATTAAAAAAAAAAACCCGGAAGTATAGAGCTGGCCCCATAGTGTAGTGGTTAAGGTTCAGTGCACTCTGCTTTGACAGCCTCAGTTTGTGGGTTTGGATCCCAGGTGCTGACCTACATCACTTGTCAGCCATGCTGTGGCAGCAACCCACATATAAAGTGGAGGAAGACTGGCAACAGACATTAGCTCAGGGGTAATCCTCCTCACCAAAGAAAAAAAAGAAAGTAAGTAGTAGTATAGTTAATATGGTAAGAGAGGAGAAAAATGAAATCATATAAAATGCTCAATTAAAACCAGAAGGAAGCAGGAAAAAAGTAAAAGACAAAAGAAACACAGAACACGGGCAATGAATAGAAAATAACACATACGGTAGTAGATATTAATCCAACTATATAAAAAAATCACTTTAAACATCAATGATCTAAATACATCAATTAAAAGACAGAGGCTGTCAGAGTGGATCAAAAAAAAGATTCAATGATATCTTGTCTACAAGAAACCCACTTTGAATATAAACACAAAGATAGATTAAAAGTAAAGGGATGGAGAAAGATATACTATGCTAACACTAATCAAAAGAAAGCTGTAGCAGCTCAATCAATTTCAGACAAAGCAGACTTCAGAGGAAGGAAAAATTATCAGGGATAAAGCAGGCCATTACATAATGATAAAGGGGTCAATTCTCTAAGAAGACATAACAACCCTTAACATGTATGTGCCTAACAACAGACCATCAAAATACATGAGGCAAAAACTGATAGAACAGGAAGGAGAAATAGATGAATCCACCAGTATAGCTGGGGACTGCAACCCCCTTTATCAGTAATTGACAGATCCAGCAGGCAGAAAATCAGTAAGGACATGGTTGAACTCAACAATACCATCAATCAATTGGATCTAGTCAATATCTACAGAATACTTCATCCAGCAACAACAAAATAAACATTATTTTCAGGCACATATAGAGCATTCACCAAGACAGACCATAATCTAGACTATAAAATAAGTCTCAATAAATTGAAATGAATTCAAATCATACAAAGTATGTTTTCTGACCACGATGGAATTAAATTAGAAATTGATAATAGACATCAAGAAAACCTCCAGAGGCAGCCCTGGTGGCCTAGTAGTTAACATAGGTGCGCTCCACTTCAGCAGCCCAGGTTTGGTTCCCAGGCTCGGACCTACACCACTTGTCTGTCAGTGGCCATGATGTGGCAGTGGCTCACATACAAAAAGAAGAAGATTGGGAACAACATTAGTTCAGGACAAATCTTTCTCAGTAAAAAAAAAAAAAAAAAGAAAGAAAGAAAAAAGAAAATCTCCAAATATCTGGAAATTAAATAACATAGCTCTAAATAAAGCATGATTCAAATAAGAAATCAAAAGGAAAATCAGTATTTTGAACAGGATAAAAATGAAAACACAATATACCAAAATTTGCAGAATATAGAGCCCAAAAATAAACCCTTATATAAATGGTCAAATAATTTTCGACAAGGGTGCCAAGACCATTCAATGAGGAAAGGACAGTCTTTTCAACAAATGGTGCTGGGAAAACTGGATACTCACACGCAAAAGAAGTAAGTCGGATCCTTACCTAACACCATACAAAAAAATTAAATCAAAATGGATCAAAGACCTAAATACACGAGCTAAAATACAAAACTCTCAGAAGAAAACATAGCGGAAAGCTTCGTGACATTGGATTTGGCAATGATTTCTTGTATATGACATCAAAAACACAGGCAACAAAAGAAAAAGATAGATAAATTGGACTACATCAAAATTTTAAACTTCTGTGCATCAAAGGACAAAACCAATAGCGTAAAATGTCAACTGAAGGAATGGGAGAAAATATTTTCAAATCATATATCTGATAAAGTGTTAATATCCAAAATATATAAAGAACTCCTACAACTCAACAACAAAAAAACCAAGCAACCCAATTAAAAAATGGGGAAAGGGGCTGGCCCCATGGCCTAGTGGTTAAGTTCAGCATGCTCTGCTTTGGTAGCCTGGGTTTGGTTCCCAATAGCAGACCTACATCATTCATTGGTAGCCATGCTCCAGTGGCAACCCAAACACAAAATAGAGGAAGACTGGCACAGATGTTAGCTCAGGGTGAATCTTCCTCAGCCAAAAAAAAAAAAAAAAAAAGGGCACAGGACTTGGACTTGAATAGATATTTCTCCAAAGATATACAAATGACCAATAAGCATATGAAAAGATGCTCCACATTACTAATCATTAGGAAAATACAAATAAAAACTACAATGAGATACCACTTCATATCCATTAGGATGGCTACAAACAAAAAGCAAGAAAATAACAAATGTTGGCAAGGATGGGAAACTGGAAGCCTGGTGCACCGCAGGTGGGAATGTAAAATGGTGCAGCCACTATGAAAAACAGTATGATGGCTTCTCAAAAAATTATTAAAAATAAAATTACCGTATGATCCACCAATTCCACTTCTGCATACGTATCCAAGAGAACTGAAAGCAGGGACTCAAACAGATATTTATAGTACATCCATGTTCACAGCAGCATTATTCACAATAGGCCAAAAGTGAAGGCAACCCAAGTGTCCATCAACAGGTGAATGGATAAACAAAATGTGGTATATTCACACAATGAAATATTATTCAGCTTCAAAAAGGGAGGAAATTCTGACACATGCTACAACACGAACAAACCCTGAGAACATTACATCTGGTGAAATATGCCAGTCACAAAAGGACAAATACTGTATGATTCCACATATATGAAGTAACCTAGAGTACTCAATAGTCAAATTCATAGACAGAAAGTAGAATGGTGATTGCCAGGACCTGGGGGGAGGGAGGAATGGTGAGTTAGTATTTAATAGGCACAGAGTTTCAATTTGGAAAGATGAAAAAAATTCTGGAGATGGATAGTGGTAACAGTTTCACAAAGATGTGAATGTACTTAATGCCACTGAACTGTACAATTATAAACGGTCACAAGAGTAAATTTTAAGTTATGTCTATGTTACTAGAACTTTAAAAAAAATTAATATAATTTACCATATTAACTTAAAAAAAATCATAGCTAGTAGAGGAGCCAGCAAAGAAGGAAAAGTAGCAGCAGCCAGGGAGGTGGAGAAAACCACATGTGCAGTTTCTTAGAAGGAAGAGAAGAAAATATTTCAGAGAATAGGAAGTGATCAAGTGTTAAATGCTACTGGCAAGTCAAGTGAGATGAGGCCTGAGAAATGACCACTGGAGGTCACTGGAGACTTGAGCTATTTCAGTTGGATAACGTAGGGACAAAAGCCTGATCAGGTTCAGGAAAGACTAGAAGGTTAGAAAATTGGAAATAGCATTATAGAAAATCTTTCTGAGGACTTTGCTTAAAGAATAGAGAAATGGGGTGCTCAGCACTACAAGGAAAAGAGGATTTGGGTTCAAGAGGGGTTTTGTTTATTTTATTTTTACAGTCGAGTTCAGTACATACATCAAACATTAAGAGATACTGGTCCAATAGAATGAACTATTCTCAAGACTAGCTTTACCACTTGACCCTAGAGGTTATAGTGTTGCAATTCTGAATCTTGCTTTTTTCCCCCCTCCAAACATTATCTCATCATCTTTTCCCCAGGTCATTAAAATTTTTAATGAAACTCTTTAACAAGTATTTCAATAAAGTACAATATCTATCCTTTTTGCTAGATATGTTCAAATGTTCTCTATTATTATAGATAATGCTATAATGAATCTTTGTACATAAATTTTTATAGTCATCTTTTTCTTTGGGTTACAGTCTCAGATGAATCATTACTAGATCAAAGGTTAAGAACACTTTTAAGTTTCTTCGTGGAGAATGATAGTTTTATCAACTGACATTTCCATCAGGAGTATGTGAATCTCATTTCACCATATCCCTAGGAGCACAGTTTCAACTTAAATTTTCTTATTTCAACTTAAATGTTCTTATTTTGCCAACTGTTATCACCAAAACTGTATTATCCTTTCATTTAAATTTCTGATTAACTGGTGAGGTTAAACTGTTTTTCAAATATTTATCAGTCACATCTTTTTTCTTCTGTAAACTGCCTAATTCTTTTGTCATTTGCCTTTGAAATAAATTGTTTTTCCTGTCAATCAATCTGTTCTGATTGTTTATTAAGGACAACTACTCTTTTCATTATTCCAGGTTTTCCCCCCAGGTGTTATCTGCTTTTAATTGTTTACCATAAATTAATTTTTGTTAATTATGTTAAATCTATGTTCTCCTTTGTCATTTTTCCCTTCATAGTTGATAATTCGGTTTGTAAATTGCTAAGGATTGGGTATCGGTGGATTAAAGGAAAAGAGTGGGTTTAGGAATAAAAGTTCTGTTGTAAGGAAGTTAGAAGGTCTCTTATTCTGTTAATATCTGATTTATTGTCTGGTCTCCACTTAAATGAAATTTTATAAAGGTATACCCACTAAATAAATAAATAAGCATATAATAAAATCTGGTAAAAGCAAAAGAAAACAGGACTTGGCTTCAGAACACCTGTAACTGAGTTCTGGCTCTACCAAATATCAGCTAGAAGACTGAACTTTTTAACCTTACTCAATTCTCATGATCTAACAACACAGCACTTATTGAGGGCTTACTATGTGCCCAGCATGATTCTAAGAATTTTACCTTTGTGAACTAATTTAAATACAATTCTATGATATCATAATCATCACTTTACACACATATAACCTAGAGAGGTTAAAAAACTCACACACAATTAGTAAATGGAAAAACCAGGATTTGAACCCAGGCCTCCCACCTCCAGGGCTCCGACCCTGGCTCCAAGTCACTCTATTATATGGCCTCTTTCATCTTTAAAATGAGAACGATACCAACTATCTCACAGGTATGGAAAGAGGATTAAATGAGGCAATACACATGAAAGAACTATACAGTGGCAAGTATAAAACAGTATTATTAAGCATTTTTGTTCTAAATGAAAACAAAAAAAATCAGATACTTTGTATGAGTTAAAATTGGTTAAAAAGAAAACAAAATAAAAAATATGGTAAGAAATTCCTCAAAACATATACCACTGAGAACTAGAATCCTTATAGTAACTGTTAAAAGTACTGTGGCAGACAGCCCTTAAGGCTTCTGCTTCCTGGCTGGAATAAAAAATTCCTGCCTTAGGCTAGAAGAATATACAACATATTTCATGAAAATGATAGTGCAAAACATGATCCTTCGCAGGCCAAATCAGTTAAATATGCCAGTTTAGAAGCCCCATGAAAAAAAGAGACTCAGCTCGTCTTTCTTCCTCTTATGTCTTCCCACTTCTTCCTCTTCTGTCAAACACCACTATCTTGGTTTATACGCCTTCCTAAGATCTGCAATGCCATACCCACTTCCTTTTCTATCCAAATCCTTCATGTCCTTCGGTGGTACATTTCAAGTCCCAACTTCAAAGCTACATTCATGCCTCTGGTCTCTTCTTTACCTGACCTCTCATTACTTCTTTCATAAAAACGACTTAGTCTCTGGTTATATTTTCTTCTGTTGAGACATAATTCAAATACCATAAAATTCATCATTTTAAAGCGTACAGTTCAATGGTTTAAATTATATTCACAAGGCTGTACAACCATCACCACTATCTAATTCCCAGAACATTTTCATTCCCCTAAAAAGAAACTCCATACCATCAGCAGTCATTCCCCAATTCGCCCTTCCCTGTCCTCTGGCAAACACTAATCTATTTTCTATCTCTATGGATTTGACTATTCTAGACATTTCTATAAATGGAATAAGAGAGTATGTGACCTTTTGTGTCTGGCTTCTTTTCACTTACAATAATGTTTTTCAAGGTACATCCATGTTGTACCATGTATCAGTTCTTCATTTCTTTTTATGGCTGAATAATATTCCGTTGTATGGCTACACCACATTTTGTTTATCCATTCATCATTGATGGACATTGTTATGAACATAATGTACAAGTTTTTATGTGAAAATATGTTTTCCCTTGGGTATATACGTAGGAGTGGAATTACTGGGTCACATGGCAACTCTATGTTTAACTTTTTGAGGAACTGCCAAAATATTTTCTACAGCAGCTACACCACTTTACATTCCCACCAGCAATGTATGAGCGTTCCAATCTCTCCACATCCTTGCCAACACTTCTTATTGTCCATTTTTGAATACAGTTATCCTCTTGGGTGTGAAAGAGTATCTCATTTTGGTTTCAATCTGCCTTCCCTAATGTCTCTGGTACGTGTTATGTGATACATATTTCTATAATTCCTCCTCTCAAACTTTTTCTACAAAGAGCCAGAGAGTAAATATTTTATGCTTTGTGGGGCACACATGGCCTGTTACATATCTTCCTCTATTTTTTGTTTGTTTGTTTTTTAAACAACAAAAGCAAAAGCCACTGTTAGCTTGAGAGCAGTACAAAAACAGACCTTAGACTGTAGTTTGGCAACCTCTAGTGTGATTGTCTCATAACTAGCTTTGCCGTCTCTATCAATGTCAACTTTATTGAAAGCAAGGTAAGGACTATTTTGTATTCCTTCACAGCGACTAGCACAGAGCTCATGAATACAAGACTAGAGATTTTAAAAATACTTGAACTGAACTTTTTGCACAAAAAAAGTCCCAAATTAAAAAAAATATATGTAACTTCCCACAGGTATTTACACAATGCAAATAAAGCATACTAGTTTTTTAAATGACTGCTAAATGTCAAGTCATTTTTCTTTTGAAATGGGGCAGTTTGACTATGAATATCGTAAGAATCAGAGGAAAAATTTTTCCATAATGGCCTTTAAATCAAAATTATATTTAGAGTCAATTAACTTATTAAAATAACTTTCTAGCACCAAACGAATTTTAAGGACATACTTCTGAATCAAGTATTTCTAAAGCTACAAATAAGATTAAAATTAAGAGTAATATACCATAGCAGACCTTGATTATCTGTTCCTCTAACTTGAAAAAAAAATCAAACAAAAGGTACTTACTTCTGACAAATATGAAAAGCCTGTAATTTCAAAAATTTGCGTTTTGCATCCTGGAAATTATAGGTTGATCAGATAGGGGGAATTGATTCTACATAGAAGCTCTTTGATACAGTAGAATGAAAAGTAACATAAGAGATAGCAGGCATAACTAGCTATTTATCTCTGGGCAAGTCACTGAACTTCTTCAAAGCCCAGATTTCTCATCTTTAAAAGTAGGAATGATTCCATCTGTCCTACCTTTTTCACAGAATTGTGAAGATCAAATGAGACAAAGTTTATAGAAGTTTTCAAAAAGCATTCTACAAATAATATTACTCATATACTGTTAGAAGAATTCTAAACCAAAACCAAGTTTTCACTGTTAAAATAAGCATAAACAAGAGTTCTCTGGTTCTTCATAGTTACAACAAATATTTTTCCTAATAGTCCTAATGACATCAATGAACACTCCAGTGATTCTTTTTTGAGGCTTTCTAACAGAGGAATGGCCACCAGCACAAACTGGTCTCATATTCTGAATGGCATAAAGGTTAATCAAGTGAGTAAAAGCATTCAGACAGGTTCCTCAAGTCTTAAGAATCTAAGACAACATTCATTCTTTTGCATCTTTAGCTTATTCTAGCTAACAGGAATAATGTACTAAATATTCTTTTAAACACTAAACTGCCTGCTAAAAATTCAATGGAAACCAAACCGTAACTTCAAAAATAAAGTCAGAATCAGCAGCAAAGTTCTGACGTACAGAAAAGAAGGGATAATAAAGCAACGATAATATCTAATATTCTGTGCTAGGCATTTTATATGGACCATACCATTTGGTTTTCATGACCATAAGGCAGGAGTATTATTATCATTCATATTTTATAGCTAAAGAAAGTGAGTCTAAGAAAACTATTTAACCACAGGTCACAGATAGTAATTTGCATAGCTGGATCAGAATATAGGCACGTTGCCTATATTGACTGCAGTGCCCACATTCTTAACCTATTCTTAAACTCTATTCTGTCTTCCTAAATTGTGTTTATCAGACTTCATTTTCTATAGTCAAAGCAAAACAAAAACAAAATCCAAGAAAAGGGCAAATTTTCCAGATGTGTTTCATCTCATTTTCTTTCCATATTCAACTACTAGGAACCTGATAAAAAGTAGTTAATGACCAGAAGACCACATAAACAAAATAGGGTAACAGATGAAGGGCTGAGATAACATATCCTACATATACTCATTCTAATACTGGCTTCTAATTTTTTTAAGTTCAAAATTAAGCCTTGTTTCAGTAGGTTTCTTTGTTCACAGTGGATGAATTATTTTAAGGAAAGCCCATTCCAATGACTTTAAGTCTACAGTCACTGTGGTTGAAAATGTGCTCGAGTACTTGCTGCAGAGTAGGAGTACATTAAACACTTGAAATACTGTTTGTTGGCAGAAATAATAACCAGGAAATATTTGTAATCATCCAGGTCCACCCACTTTCATCAACATAAACAACTAATCCCACTTCCACCTTTCTTTTCTTTTCCTTTTTTAAAGTATGATTTTTTTGGTGAGGAAGATTGGTCCTGAGCTAACATCTGTTGCCAATCTTCCTCTTTTTTTTCCCCTCCCTAAAGCCCCAGTACATAGTTGTATATCCTAGTTGTAAGTCGTTCTAGTTCTTCTATGTGGGATGTCACCACAGCAAGGCCTGATGAGCAGTGTGTAGGTCTGCGCCCAGGATCAGAACCAGGGAACCCTGGGCCACTGAAGCGGAGTGCACAAACTTAACTGCTTGGCCACAGGACCTGACCCCACCAATTCCACTTTTCCTACTCCCACTTTTACTTATGTATATACATCAGTACAAGGTCTATACATAATGAGGTTGCATATGTGCAGAAACCAACATATTATAAGAGTCTCTTTGAAAATGCAATTCTGATCAAAGCTTTAAAATACTTTTAACTATGAGAATTACTTTTGAGTACAGCATTTCTGCTGGAAAAATTCTGACTAGAAAGAGTATTAATTCTGGAAAATAGTTTTTTAATAACAGTATCTAACTCTATTTTTTTAAAGTTATGTCTGAATGAATTGTATCTTTCTTTTATCTAAACAATATGGTATGAGAGGAAAACCTCAAAATCTTGAATTTGACATCAATATGTTGAAGGGAAGTGACCAAGACTCACAAACATGAAAACATTTACAGATACTAAAAGGGCTACAAAGAAATAACATTTAATAAAATAATTAAAATTACAAAAATAAAATGGGGGAATATGGGAACAATCTTTAAACTGTCAAGAAAGAAATATTCCCAGGATGTATGATAAAACTTCTAAGCAACCATACACACAAAAGACAAATAAATGGAAACTATATCACAGTTGAGCAGTGACTGTGTTATAAAACATTTGAAAATAAAATGATTACAGAGGGCTTTCCATGTAGAATTAGTTCTAGACACCAAGTATACCAGTTATTTTCACTGAAGAGTAGAATTCGCAATACAGTGCAGACTAAAAGACTGATACTGTTATCTACAACATTCACACACATTCACACTGATAAGGAGAAATTTCTCAGTAAGATGGGTTTACCCATCTTAATCCTTTGGCGTGTATGAAGTAACACAGCAATAGCATAAACAAATTGTGAAATTTGAAAATGCTACATACAAACAAATGACGAAATTATCACTCTTAACACTGTACTTGAGTCTAACACTTTTGGACTCACATAATCTCAAGGTTCTTCAAAAATTAATTGCCACAATCTTTTGCTGTTACAGTATAACAAACGATTTACCAATTTAAATAACTCCACATTAGTTAAAAGACATCAATCAATAAGAAATAAGTATTAAAATTCTCTACAACCATATCAACAGCTTACTTTGAGGCCTAGATTTGGACTAAGCTTGTTAACTCGGAAAAAGTATTTACAGTCAAATCAAAAACCACCTGAATACAACAGATACCTTAAGTATTACTAAAGCCCTAAGAGTCAAAGTGAGATACTACAATTAAACAGCTATGATTATATTTTCTAGAAGCTATAATCTTAACATGTATTCGGTCTACAGCCCCGTTTCTAGCAATGCCGTTAACTGGACAGGACCAAATAATTGAAATATTAGCCCAAATCAATCCATAAGGCATACTGAGCACAGCAAACTCAAACCGACCTTGATATCTAGATTAATACAGAAAAAGAATATTATACTGGTCCCTAATATCACAAATACCTATTATGTTTATCTACCAAGGATATGAGGCAACAGTAGCTAAAGGAAAATAAAACCAGTTACCCAAATTTAACATGAAAAAAAAATACTATAACTCCTTTTCTCAAAGTGTTAGTTTGATTAATTTATCAATCGTATAGCCACTGGGTAACAAAAACTGTTGGAAAAAGCCAAACATTTTCTGAAAAGCAAGCTAATTCTGTGTTGAGAAGGTGGCTCCACTCTGGGAGATGCACTCATTTTTTATTCTCTTAGTCTGCATTTGCTGAAATTTATCTACAAATTGGGCACCAAGTTTAAAAAAAAAGGAAAGAAAGGGAAATCTGATGGAGAACTAAAGATAGAGACACATGCTGTCTCTCCAAATTACATAACATCTCTAGCTCTAACCAGCAAGGACCCCTGACTACATGGGCAGAAGGCTACTAGTGGATACAAACACACTAAAATGAAACAGCTTGCCAAATTAATATGTTATGAGAGAAAAGAGAAAGAGTAGGAAAAATCTGGTCGTTTACTAGGGGTTCCGTCACAACTAGGATGGTGGAACATACAAAAGGAAACAGAAAGGTTCACTTTTACAAGAATACTTTAGGATCAACACACGAAAATGGAGCAAAAGAACTGTGCAGTCCTAATAGGACTCATGAAAAAAGTTCCTGATCATTAAGAACTATTAGTAATAGTCTAAATTAATTTCCTTTTTTTCAATACCTGGCCGTGTGTGTGTGTGTAATTTGAGGAAAATCCCACAGCACAGGTTTCCCACTTCATTGAAACTTCACATACTTTGATCCCTTCATCGCCTCCCAGCTTATCATTTCCTCTCTTTCCCTCCTAAACTCCGGCTCCAACGGTAATCGTCAGTGTAGCTTAGTAGCTAAACATAGACTTTGAAACCTAACTTCCTGGGTTTGAAGTCCAGCTCTGCCACTTACTTACTCAGTAATGATAGGCAATCTCTTAACCCCTCTGTGCCTCAGTTTCATCATGGGGATAATAGTGCCTACTTCACAGGGTTGAGTAAATGAGTCAGTATTTTTAAAGAACACTTGTAAATATGTCTAGGACAGAATAAGGACTCTATAAATTTTGCTCTTTATCATTACCATCTTTGAGTTATTCTTTGCTAGCCCCCTCTACTCCACGTATTCCTGTGTTTCCCTCTAAATCAGCCAGAATACATCAACCATGAATGAATCTTAAAACCTTTCTCCATTGCTGGAGAAAATACCACTAAGCAAGTAACGTCACGACTACAAATTCCTAGTCTGAAACTTCATGTGGGCCCTCAGTACTACACATCAATCCTTTTACCAATCTTTGCTCCACTTCTTCCCTCCTTCCTTCCCCTCTTTGAAAAATTTATCAAATCCAGTCACCAACATCTTTTTTCCTCAAGTCCTACTCAGAGGATGAAGTTGTCCCTCCTCACATTTAAGGGCAACCCTTCCATTTTCCCTCTACTAATTCCCTCTGTAATTCTGTCATGCAATACAAACCATACCTGACTCTGTTCCCTATATACAATCAACAGCCAAGCTAGTTTTGTGAATTTTCTCTCCTAAATATTTCTTAAAATTGTTTATCCTTTTCATCCCTACTACCACTGTGTTAATGAAGGCTCTCATCATCTTTTACCCAAATCCTTCTAAGAGAAATCAGAGATTAAGGAGAATCAAGAAAATGCAAATATCAGAAGCCAAGAAAGGAGATAGAATATTGCGATTGTTTTTCAGTCTCCAGACTTACAACCCTCGAATCCACCCTCCAATACAACTTAATGACTTAGTTAAGATGAAACTCTACTGTGGTTCCCCTGTCTAAAATCCTTAAGTAGCATATACCACCCTCTTCCTATGAGTTCTTAACCCTTTAGGTTAAGAGACTAGCCCTTCTTCCCACCAACCATGGATGTACTTTAGAAGGTACAAGAATCTCTTGAAACAAATTGTTTGCTATGCAAAATAAAAACAAACCTCTTTTAAAGTATAATTTTCTGGAGAGAAGAGGAGGGCCCAAAATTTGGTCCAAAAATCTCAAATTCTCAGCAGGGTCTATGACCCCAAAAAGGTTTATTATTCTAGAAGATAAGGCCCAAGCTCATTATTAGGGTGTGTAAAGTTCTCCATGATCTGGCCCTGGTCCATGTCAGCCTCACCAGCTGTCCCTCTACGTGGGCAGTTACCAGGAGTTGGTGAAGTGGACATCTGTTACTTTTGCATGTCTAGCATCCCTCCCTCCTTCTTTTGGTAAAAGCATCCTGACTCTCTATTGGGAAATAAGCCTTGTCTCCCTTAATGAAGTTTTGGTGGGAATGTCAATCAAGATGTCCCACCCTCCACGGGCAAGGGAGAAATCTCACCCAAATTCAAGCTAGGTCAATCAGGCTGAATGTCCTAAGAAGCTGAATCTTGAGCATAATGATGTGAAGAGAGAAAATGGTTAGAGCTGATTCATTCTGACTCTGGTATACTAAAGACTGTGTATTTCTGCTACCTAGGTCCTGATGCCTGCAAACTGCCCTGGTGCTTCTTGGGGCTTCCTGAGGCTTGAATGCTCATTTGTTAAATTCTGTTATTCAACATCCTTCAAATAAACATCTTTTTTCTTCTTAACCATTTCAGCCATTTGTTCATCCTTTCATTGGAAAAATATTTACTAAACTATGTGATGGTTAGTTGTATGTGTCAACTTGGCTAGGCTTTAGTACCCAGTTATTCAAACAAACACTAATCTAGGTGCTGCTGTGAAGGTATTTTGTAAATGTGGTTAACATCTACAGTCAGTTGACTTTAAGTTAAGGAAATTATCAATAACGTGGGAGGGCTCATCCAATCAGCTGAAAGCCCTTAGGGAAAAAACTGAGGTTTCACTGAAGAAATTCTGCACCCCTCTCTCTCTCTCTCTCTCTCTATATATATAAATGTACACACATACATATATCTATATATAAAATGTAAATGTATAATGTGTGTGTGTGCATGTGCGTGTGCATCCTACTGGTCTGTTTCTTTGGAGAACCCTATCTAATACAAACACCTACTATATACTCGTGCTGAGAACAAGACAAAGTCTGTTTCTGTTGCTTGCAACCAAACAACCCTAAATACAGTTATATATGTCACTGTTTGAGGAGAGGTCACTGTTTCACACATGTGCTAACAGTTTAAGATGAAAGCTGTGAGCAGAATTTTTGAATTCTAAACCTGATGGCAACAAAACTAATTTTATAGATTCCTCCAAAGTACAGGGAAATAAAATGAAGGCATGCTTCAGAAAGAAAGAGTGTCTAAAACAGCTGTCAGAATGTGCCGGTTCCCTTACTCTAGAGTTAAGGGATCAGCAAACTATGACCTGCAGGCCAAATCTGGTCCACTGCCTATTTTTGTGTGACCTGTAAACTAAGAATGGTTTTCACATTCCCAAATGATTTTTTAAATCAAAAGGAAAAAAGTGCACAACCAGAAGAACCTTACAACTAGAATATACAACTATGTACTGAAGGGATTCCAGGAGAAGAAGGGGAAAAAAAAGAAGATTGGCAAGAGATGTTAGCTCAGGTGCCAATCTTTAAAAAAAATGCAAAGAAAAAATACCTTGTGACACATGAAAATTATATGAAATTCAAATTTCAGTGTCCATAAATAAAGGGGACACAGACAATGCTCATTTGTTTACATATGGCCTATGGCTGCTTTTACCCTACAAAAGCAGAATTGAGTATTGCAACAGAGACCATATGGCCATAAACACCTAAAACATTTATTATCTGGCCCATTACAGCAAAACGTTTGCTGACCCCTACTCTAGTTTATCAGAGAAAGCACTAACTTATCTTCAGGAGGAATGGGCAAGAAAAGGGTAGGAAATTTTAGAAAAGAGGGTACAAGAAAAGGAATAAATTAATTGTAACTATTATTTATTGAGTACTTACCATGTATAAAATACTGTTTTGAGCACTTTACATGTATTAATATTTTTAAGCCTCACAACATTCCTATGAGGTGGAGACTATTATCCCCATTTTATAGATGAGGCAGAGAGGCTAAAACAAACTTGCCTAAGCTTAATAGACATAAATTAACAGAACCAGGATTACAACCCAGGCATTTTGGCTTTAGCATCTGTGTGGTTAACCACAACACCATACTGCTTTATCACTTTATCTCCTTGTCTATCTAATCTGCATTGCATAAATGATGTTGATTTTCCTTAGAAATAAAGTATTACAAACTCTGCAGGTGAACCAATACTGGAATAAATGAGGAAGTTGGTGGCTATGCATTCCTTGGAGAACTTGAGGTATTATGAAGACCTATGCTTATCTCCCTTCTTAAAGGCAGGAAACTGAGGAATATGCCCCCTTGGGTTCACTCATTGACTTCCCCCAAACCACAGGTGAACTCAGAAGCTCAGGCAAGCTTCTATACGCAGGCTAAGATAAAGCATGTTCTCCTCCCACATGTCTTGCCTCATCAAGACCAATTAAATAAGAATCCCCGGATGGTGAAGCCAGGTTGTGGATATTTCTCAAAGCTCCTCAGTTGATTCTAATGTATGACCCAAGCCAGGGTTGAGACCCATCACACTACTCTCCTTTCAAGAAGAGTAGTGATTAAAAGAAAAGAGTACAGGTGAGGGGAGGAGAAAGGGTAGAGATGGGGGAACTTGACAAAACTTGTCTTTTTCTTTTAGTACCACATTTTTAAATAAATATTTTAAATAAATTTTAAATTTTAAATAAATTTTTATTTAGTACCACAGCATGCTAGTAAAGAACATTTCTAGTCTTCATGTCTCACCTCTATATCTGAAAACTTAAAAAAAAAAAGGTATGAAAACAAAACTAAGTATTTCTATATATGCATGTTTGTATGTTCACACAGGAAATTTCTGTAGGGATACATAGCAAACTGATAACTACTATTTTTACTTCATCTGTATTTTTTCCTTGATCTGTAGTTTTTATTACTCGTATTTCTTTTTATAATGTATTTCTTTGTATAATGTATTAAAAATTAATGAATTTTTAAAAAACAGTGTGACTAAAAGGATGTTCAAGGATTACTTTAATTATACTTTGAATAGGAAAATAATTATATAAAGACCTAGTAAAAATTACTCAAGGTTTTCCTGAAAAGCAGTTTACTTTTCGTCAGAGCACAAAATATAAAATCTCCCACCTTCTGTGCGCAATGGAGAGGTACACTCTAACACACCTATTAAAGAATCTTTGCCACCAGATGGCTATTACTAATTAAAGCCTTACTAGTTCTAATTTATCATTTATGTGAGGGGAAAATATTTTAAACAATGAGAAATAATGAAATGGAAATATTTTGAAGTTTTACAAATACAATGTCTATCACATATTCTAATTTTTATAATCATTTATAATCTCACATAATATTTAGTTAAAATCAAAAATCTTCCTTATATGGACTATTCATTTAAATGAATCTGAAGTTTCTGATATGGCTTCAGGCTTCAGAAAACAAAGAAGTGGGCAACGGGAGTGGCAGGGCAGTCTCCAAGCCATCACACAAGCTTGGCCAGAGGTCTGAAGTGATAATGAGTTAAGGCTCAAGCATGGGGTTGTCATCTGCTTGCTGCTGTGATTCTGAGTAAAGGACCCAGCCTCATGTGCATTCAGAGTGGTTTAAGTTAAATCTTACACCAAAGAATTCAAGAGACAAAATCACATTTGAGATGTTAATTTTTTTAAACATACCATGCAAAAAAAGACTACTGCCATGAGGGAAAACATGTGGTTTTTCACTTTGCTGGATGTAGAACCATGACCCACAGCAAGGTGACCTTCTGTAACGAGCCTAAGCGAGCTGTGATGACAACTCAGCTGCAAGAGAGGCTACACTGAGAAGTCTTGTCTGAACTGCCTATGTATTGAATATCATTTATTGTGATTAATCTTCATTCTAGTGGCGAGCACAGTACTCTCAGGAGAAATGTTTCAGTACAAAGGTAAACTAACTCTTCCAGAACACAAAGAGCATTTGAAAATCTCACTCGAGAGTGTGTCCTAAAACAGAAAGTTAGCTCACAGACAGTATCACAGTTAGTAGGGCCAGAATCAACATTTAAAGATTTTAGTAATGGTGTGAGCAGTTTCATTTAAATTTAAAAGAGAAACTGCTGCAGAAAAAACTAGTGCTTTTTAAAAAAAAAAAAAACTAAAAATATTTCTACTTTGAAAACCAAAGCATAATTCCTTTGCAACGTTTAGTGTTTTCCCATAAAGAAATCTGCTTGGATCCAGCAAAAACATTAATCAAATTAAGATTCTGTAAAAAGTCGAGCACTGCTTCACAAAAGTGTTACCTAACATAGTATCTATCTGATCTACTTTTAACTTTATCAGACACTAAACCTCATAAAAATGAATAATTCTGAAGACAATACATAACTACAGGAACACTACAAAAATAAGCAGAAACAGCATGGTATGAGATATCTAAATTAAGTACATTACCAGAAATGTGAAAAAGAGAGAGAGAATATATCTCCTTTCAAAAGGAATAAAAGATAGCGGAGAGAGTATTATGTCTAAGATACTTCAATCAATAAAGCAAAGATTAAAAGGCACATTTGACAGAAATGTTGTGGTTCCGGTATTCCCAGAAAGCTCACAGCTCAACAGTGTGTTTGTTCACTTTGCAACTTAGAGGTGCTTTCAGAGTTCTGAATTACTGCCAGGCACTAAAAGTTCTCAAGTGTGAAAACGTAAATCCTCAAAAATCTGTATTATTCTAGACTAGTTAAAATACACCCACTTGTCTTTAAAAAAAAAACAAACCTAGGCAAACAAACTGTAACTTGTAATCTGAAAAATATACAGGTACATTGCCTATTTAATAGAACATTTTATATTTCAAGATATAAAAGTACACCATAAAGTTAAAGTTAAAGTAATTAAAATCTAGTACCAACATCAGAGCAGGCAAATAAAGGAAAGATAAAGAGAAAGCCTAAAAAAAAAGACTCAACTATATAAAGTACTTTCAATTCTTAAATGATTCACCAATTCCACCACAAATGGGAATTTATGATACAGAAAAATACAAGCAAACTAAGATGTATGCCAAAACAACAAAAAACCAGGAAACAAAAGGTCCGTCAACAGAAGAATGGATAAATTATTGTCCATTAATACAGCAGGATATTGTTAAGAAGAATGAGGTAGAACTACATATAGTGGTATGAAAAGGTGACCAAAATACCTTAGGCAAAAAAGCAAGCTGTCTTAGTTAAGGTTCAATCTATTCTTCTTTTTTAAAAGATAGACAGCTAAATAAAACTATTTATGTTAGGACACACACAGGAAAAACCTCGACAAATACACACCTTAATGGTGGCTGCCTTTGGGGAAAGGGACTTTCACTTTCTAAGTTACACACACCAAAAATATTAAAATGTACAGAATAATTCCACTTCTTGGAATTTATCCTAAGGAAATAATTAAGACTGCATGGGAAAATTCAACTACAATGATATTCAAAGCAAAGCTTTTATAATAAAAAACAGAAAACTACAGGGAATCATTTAAAGAAATGATGGCAAGTCCACATAATGGAATAGTATGTATTGATACTATTTA